TCTATTCAAAATCCCAAAGTGACGTAGTAGCAAATACTTAAGCACCTACCACACGCCAAGCATGTTTTAAGAGGAGGAGGAGACAGATGAAACCCCAGCCTTTGTGATACTGTCATCCTACTGGGTGTGGTGGGAGATAAAAGGTAGACACCTACATGAATAAGACTTTCAGACTGTGGTAAACGCTGTGGAGGAAACAGAACAGAGGTGAAGGGATGGAGTGACTAGGAGCAGGCAGGTGCAGCCACTTCAGGGAGGGTGGTCAGGGGAGGAGGTGGCATCTGAGCTTTGACCTGAATTTTGAGAAGCCAGGAATGCGGAGAGGATTTCAGGCGAAGGAGACCTTGGGGAGGCTGGCGGGTTAAATCTGCAGGGGTGCGGCTGGCCGCAGGAAGTGAGGTGTGTGACAGTCACGCTGATGGTGACAGCACTGGCGGCAGCAGCCGGAAGGGTGGCTGAGTGCTGACTCTAATGGGCTGGCCCAAGCCTCAGTTTCTAGGGTTCCCAGATTGTCTGGCAGCTCTAACTGCGATGAGAGAGGTCTCATCGGCAGCGTTCAGGAAGCCCAGGTGTGTCCCCTTCCTAACTGAAAGGGGTTTGGGTGGGTTTTTCCTAGGCGTTCCTCTGAGACCAGCCAGCCCTGGCGAGGGTGCGGGGAGAGGGAGGGTGGGTCTGGGAACCGGCCTGGCAGGAGGAGGAGGAGGCGGTGGAGGAGGGAGGCTGTCGGCGGGCGGGAGCTGTTTGTTCTCTGGGAGGGATCCTGGCAGGGCGGTTTGGGCAGCCCCGTCCTGAAACTGGAGGAGCCTGGCTCCTTCCCAGGTCTGTGGGGGCTGGGTCAAGGGAGTGGTGATGGGGCCAGGACCCCAGACAGACTTGACTTTGCATCCTGGGTTGGAGCCAGTGACGTCACTCTCCGCTCCCTGAACCCCAGGGTCTTCCTCTTTCTTTGGTTTTTCTTTCTAGTTTAATTTTACTTTAGGTTCTGGGGTACATGTGCAGGTCATGCAGGGTTTTTGCATAGGTGCATACTATATTCAGCATTTCTCCTCATGTTATCCCTCCCCACCCTTCCCACCCCCCGCTGTCTCTCCCCTAGGCGCCCCCCGCAACTGCCCCCAATGTGTGACGCTCCTCTCCCTGAGTCCACGTGTTCTCATTGTTCAACATCAGCCTATGAGTGAGGGCATTCAGAGTTTGGTTTTTTGTTCTTGTGTCAGTTTGCTGTGAATGATGGTTTCCAGATTCATCCAAGTCCCTACAAAGGACACAAACTCATCGTTTTTTATGGCTGTGTAGTATTCCATGTTGTATATGTCCCACATTTTCTTTCTTTTTTTTTTTTTTTTACTTTTCATTTATTCCTCAGCTGGAACACATTTTCTTTTTTGAGACTGAGTCTTGCTCCGTCACCAGGCTACTAAAGTGCAGTGGCATGATCTCAGCTCACTGCAACCTCCACCTCCCGGGTTCAAGCGATTCTCCTGCCTCAGCCTCCTGAGTAGCTGGGACTACAGGCACGCACCACCATGCCCAGCTAATTTTTGTATTTTTAATAGAGACAGGGTTTCGCCATGTTGTCCAGGATGGTCTTGATCTCTTGACCTCACGATCTGCCCACCTCGGCCTCCCAAAGTGTTGGGATTATAGGCATGAGTCATTCCTCTTTCTTTTTTTTGAGACAGAATCTCTCTCACCCAGGCTGGAGTGCGATAGTGTGATCGATCTCAGCTCACTGCAAGCGATTCTCCTGCCTCAGCCTCCTGAGTAGCCAGGACTACAAGTGCCTGCCGCTATGCCTGGCTAATTTTTGTATTTTTAGTAGAGATGGGATTTCACTATCTCTACTGGCCAGGCTGGTCTTGAACTCCTGACCTCGTGATCTGCCCGCCTCGGCCTCCCAAAATGCTGGGATTCTAGGCACCGCACCCGGCCAGGTGTCTTCCTCTTTCAAATGGGCATAAATCCTAGTACCTACGTAAAGGCCTGGTAGGAGGGTTGGTGCAATAAGGCAAGGAGAGTGATTAGCCCAGGGCCTGGGGGGTGGGGGCCGGGCGCAGTGGCTCACGCCTGTAATCCCAGCACTTTGGGAGGCCGAGGTGGGCAGATCATGAAGTCAAGAGATTGAGACCATCTTGGCCAACATGGAGAAACCCTGTCTCTACTAAAAATACAAAAAATTAGCCGGACATGGTGGCGGGCAGCTGTAGTCCCAGCTACTCAGGAGGCTGAGGCAGGAGAATCACTTGAACCTGGGAGGCAGAGGTTGCAGTGAGCCGAGATGGCACCACTGCACTCCAGCCTGGGTGACAAGAACAAAACTCCATCTCAAAAAATAAAAGTTAAAAAACCCGGAGAAATCATTGTAGTTACTACAGGCATGTAACAAATTATTCTAAAACCCAGTGGCTTCAGACAAGGACCATATTTATTTTGCTCAATAATCTACTGTATGCACAGGGCTTGGTGGAGGTCGCTTATCTGCGCGCCCTTTGGTGATGGCTCTGGAAGAAGCTGGAGAGGTGCCTGAGCTGGAAAGACAGAGTCTGGGACAGCTGGAGCTCCTTGGCCCCCGTTCTTATCTCGACAGAGCTTTGGGGTAGCTAAACTCATCTTACACTGCTAAGGGCTCTCAAGATGGGTGTAGGGAGAGAGAGTTGGGGGGAGAGGGAGAGAGAGAGGAGAGACAAGAAGAGAGGAAGAAAGGAGAGAGAAAGAGGAAGGCGGAGAGGGGTGAGATGGGGAGAGAGATGAGATAGAGGGTGAGAGGGAGAGAGAAGTGAGAGGAAAAGAGAGACGGAGAGAGAGGAATAGAAAGAGAGGGAGAGAGAGAGACTTACTCCTGGTCAGAGCGACTTGGGTCGAATTCTTCCGTTTCCAGCGGCATCTGCTTCTGGGGCCTCAGACACTGTCAGGGGTAGGAGGTGGTGATCAAATACAGAGAGAATGAGAATGAGAACTGGGTGCCATAAACCCTCTGATGCGGAAAGCAAAGGGCATTGTGGGAGAATCCTTTCAGGACCCGGGACAGCACCTAATGCTGATCAGGAATTTGTTAACGAGAAAAATGGTGAAGGGGTGGACAGCCCACGGGGAATCCAAATAGATGTTTTAACTCCCTTGGGTGTGTCTGGGAGTCAGGTAGGAGGAGGTCCTCAGAGGACAAATTTGCACAAATTGTTCTCTTTGTGATAACAGTGTTAACAGCCAGCAATGATCTGGCACTTACTATGGATTAAGTCCTTGTTATGGATGACTTCATGTCATCCTTCCAAATTCAATGACAGGGGGCTGGCCACAGTGGCTCACGCCTGTAATCCCAGCACTTTGGAAGGCTGAGGTGGGTGGATCACCTGACGTCAGGAGTTTGAGACCAGCCTGGCCAACATGGTGAAACCCCATCTCTACTAAAAATACAAAAATTAGCCAGGTGTGGTGCTGTGCTCCTGTAATCCCACTACTCAGAGGCCAAGGTAGGAGAATTGCTTGAACCCGGGAGGTGGAGTTTGCAGTGAGCTGAGATTGTGCTGCTGCCCTCCAGCCTGGGCAACACAGCGAGACTCTGTCTCAAAACAACAACAGCAACAAAAACCTACAACTTCCCAATCTCATCACCAGCCCCTGGCAACCACTGCTCTGTTTTCTGTCTCTATGAATTTGACTCCTCCAAGTACCGTATAGAAGTGAAATCACACCGTGTTTGTTATCGTGTAACTGGTTTAATTTTTGTTTGAGGTGGTGAGAGCTGAAGGACTATAGGACTAAGGTCTTAAAATAGCTCTTTCTGCCTGAGTAATCTCCATTATGGCAGGACTCCTGTAAGAAGATGACAGTTCATATGAGGGGGAAGAAAACTTACTCCTGGTCAGAGCGACTTGGGTCGAATTCTTCCGTTTCCAGCGGCATCTGCTTCTGGGGCCTCAGACACTGTCAGGGGTAGGAGGTGGTGATCAAATATGCTTGCTCTGAGCAGTGCAAGGGAAAGCAGGTGCCCAGAGGTGCATCCCGGTTTGGGGGGGGGGGTAACAAACATGGACAGGTAAGTGCGGGAGTGTCTGCGATACTCAAAGAAAGGTAGTTCAGCTGGGCACGGTGGCTCATGTCTTTAAGCCCAGCACTTTGGGCAGGTGAGGTAGGCGGATCACCTGAGGTCGGGAGTTCGAGACCAGCCTCACCAATATGGAGAAATCCCGTCTCTACGAAAAATACAAAATTAGCCTGGTGTGGTGGCACATGCCTGTAATTCCAGCAACTTGGGAGGCTGAGGCAGGAGAACTGCTTGCACTCGGGAGGTGGAGGTTGCAATGAGCCAAGATCGTGCCATTGCACTCCAGCCTTGGCCACAAAAGGGAAACTCCATTTCAAAAAAAAAAAAAAAAAAAAGTTTAGGCAGAGTTCAGGAAGACGTCTCTGTACAGGCTCAGACATTGGGATGAGATTCTGAGAATGTGGGAATGAATCGGGCCCTCAGCCTCTCCTCCCTCAGGCCCAGGAGTCCTGACACCTGGCCTCTCCTCCCTTGGACCCAGAAGTCCAGGACCTCAGCTCCTCTTCCTTCAGACTCAGGAGTCCAGGCCCCAGTCCTCAACTCCCTCAGACAAGGAGTCCAGGATCCGAGCTGCCCCAGAAGCTTGGGTACCCACAGGCTACCAGATCCTTGTTTCTGAGCATGGAGATTCCCAAATTATCCCCAAAAGTCTATGAAGAAGGTAAGCACACATTTCCAGATGAAGAAATAGGCTGACATATTTGAAAGACACACAGAGGGTCGCAGTCTGGAATTAACAGTGGTGGGATTCGAACCTCTGTCACTACAGAGCTGCGGAGCGCCTTAAACGGTGCGGCAAATGTGACGCCGTTCGAGCGAACCGTAGGCCCCGCCCTCGGACACGGCCACGCCCACATGCTCCTGAAACCGCCACTCCCAGCTGTGACTGCGCTCAGGGACGATGCTCATAGGTCTCGCCCTTGGGATCCCCGCCCACTCTGCCCTTGCCACGCCCCTCGCAGCCCACTTCCGGAACGCGTGGGCCCCACTGCGCCTGCGCTTCCCCTTGTGCTTGGCTGCGTCTCGCGTTCTTCCCGGAGCTGCCCGGGCGGCGGGTCTGAAGTCGGCTCCGCGCTGACCACTGACCCCCGTCCCGGGCCCGGCATGAACCGCTACCTGCTGCCGCTGTCGGCGCTGGGCACCGTCGTAGGCGGCGCCGTGCTGCTCAAGTGAGTACATTCTAGCCCCGCGTGCGCGGTCGCGGCGGGCCCCCAGCGCAGGGGCAGGGAAGGCGGCGGAGACCCCCGCCCCTCGCACCCAGGTGCAGCTTCTGCAGCTCCCGACCCGCGCTGCCTGCGGGAATGGGACAAACCTGCGCTCGGGCCGGCCGGGTCACGGCGCAAGGTCACTCGGAGGGAAGGGCGAGCCTGGGCCCTTGTAAATGTTGCTTTCCTTTCAGACTTTTAAACTCTTTATTATTTATTTGTTCATTTAGTTTTAGAGGCAGAATCTGGCTCTGTCACCCAGGCTGGAGTGCAGTGGCGCGGTCTCGGCAGCTTTGCCCACCTGGATTCAGGTGATCCTCCCACCTTAGCGTCCCCAGGAGCTGAGACCACAGGTGCGCCACCACGCCCGGCTAATTTTTTTTTTTTTTTTTTGAGACGGAGTCTTGTTCTGTCACCCAGGTGGAGTGCAGTGGCACGATCTCCGGTCACTGCAACCTCCGACCCTCCCAGGTTAAATCGGTTTTTCTGCCTCATTCTCCTGAATAGCTGGGACTACAGGCCTCTGCCACGACGCCTGGCTAATTTTTGTATTTTCACTAGAGACGGCGTTTTACCATGTTGGTCAGGCTGGTCTCGAACTCCTGACATCGTGATTCGCCTGCCTCGGCTTCCCAAAGTGCTGGGATTACAGGCGTGGGCCACCGCGCCTGGCCAGGGCGACTTATTTAAAAATAAGCCTCAGTGGCGGGTGGCCACTGTGTGTCCTGCAGTTTGTGTCTCCTGTGGGCTGTGCTGCTGATCTGCTCAGCCCCCTGTTGCTGGATATTGTGTATTTCCAGCATTAGCCTCCGTGGGACATGGGTGTGGTGGGCAGAGTCACGGCTCTGGAGAGGTGTCCACGTCCCAGTCCTGGTACTCGTGACTACATTACCTCGAGCATCAGAGGGTCTTGCTGATGTGTTAAGTGAAGGACCTTATGATTATCATGTAGGCTTTTTTTTTCCTTTTGAGACAGGGTCTCTCTGTCGCTCAGGCTGGAATGCAGTCACGCTGTCACAGCTCACTGCAGTCTCAACCTCCCTGGGCTCAGGTGATCTTCCTACCTCAGCCTCCCGAATAGCTGAGTCTACAGGTGTGTATCACTATGCCCTGCTAATTATTTTAGATGAAGTTTTGCTGTTGTTGCCCAGGCTGGAGTGCAGTGGCGCGATCTCAGCTCACTGCAGCCTCTACCTCCTGGGTTCAAGCAATTCTCCTGCCTCAGCCTCTTGAGTAACTGAGATTACAGGCGCCCACCACCACGCCCAGCTAATTTTTGTATATTTACTAGAGACGGGGCCTTACCATGTTGGACAGGCTGGTCCTGAACTCCTGACCTCAGGTGATCCACTGGCCTCAACCTCCCAAAGTGCTGGGATTACAGGCGTGAGCCACTGAGCCCGGCCCAATTTTTGTATTTTTAGGAGAAGTGGGCTGTCAGCATTTTGGTCTCAAACTCCGGACCTCAAGCGATCCTCCCACCTCGGCCTCCCAAAGTGCTGGGATTACAGGTGTGAGCCACCGTGCACGGCCTACTTTGTAGTCTTATAAGGTCCTTATGTGAGGGAGCAGGAGGCTCAGTCAGAGGGCAGGAGGAAGCCAGAAGGAGAGGTTCCAGGGATGATCAGTTTCAAGATGGAGAGGGGCCAAGAGTGGAGGGATGTGGCAGCCTGTAGGAGCTGGAAATGGATTCTCCCCTAGAACCTCCAGAAGGGACGTGACTCTGCCAATTCCTTGATTTATTACAGTGAGACCTATTTTGGACTCTTGACCTGTAGAACTGTAGAAGAATGTATTTATGTGGTTTTAAGTCACTGAGTTTGTGGTAATGTGTACAGCAGCCATGGGAATCTCATGCAGTGGGCATTTTAAATGTTAAGATTTTTGAGGTGGAGTCTTACTCTGTCACTCAGGCTGGCGCCATTTTGACTCACTGCAGCCTCCGCTTTCTGGTTGTGCTTCAGCCTCCTGAGTAGCTGTGATTACAGGTGCCCCACACCATGCCTGGCCAATTTTTGTATTTTTAGTAGAGACTGCGTCTCACCATGTTTGCCAGGCTGGTCTTGAACTCCTGACCTCAAGTGATCTGCCTGCCTCTGACTCCCAAAGTGCTGGGATTACTTGCCGGGCTGGGAATCTCATGCAGTAGGTGTTTATAAAATAACGATGGTCACCGGGTGCAGTGGCTCACACCTGTGATCCCAGCACTTTGGGAGGCCAAGGCGGACAGATCACCTGAGGTCAAGAGTTCGAGACCAGCCTGACCAACGTGGAGAACAGGACAGAGATCCCACTGTGTGATGTGATGACATCTGTTTTTCAGTTGGGGGACGGGAGTGAGCTCATACGGGTTTGTCCGAGATCACTCAGTCAGGGGCACGTGGGGTGAGAGTGGGCAGACAGGACTGACTGTGCCCCTTCCCGCGCTCAGGGACAATGTTGCCGGTGGGGTTTGCCCCAGCAAGGCCACCATCCCTGGGAAGACGGTCATCGTGACGGGCGCCAACACGGGCATAGGGAAGCAGACCGCCTTTGAACTGGCGAAAAGAGGTAAACTCTCCCCTGCTTTGGCTCGCGGAGAGATATTTGCACACCCATGCAGCATGATTCACGGTCCAGCAACCCAGGCACCCATCACAGATGAACAGAGAAGCACACGTGGAGTCTGCAGACAGTGGAACATGATTCAGCCTGCAAAAGGAAGGGCATTCTTTTCTTTTCTTTGAGGTGGAGTTTTGCTCTTGTTGCCCAGGCTGGAGTGCAATGGCGCCATCTCAGCTCACCACAACCTCCGCCTCCCGGGTTCAAGTGATTTCTCCTGCCTCAGCCTCCCCAGTAGCTGGGACTACAGGCATGTGTCACCATGCCCGGCTAATTTTGTATTTTTAGTAGAGACAGGGTTTCTCCATGTTGATCAGGCTGGTCTCGAACTCCCGACCTCAGGTGATCCACTGGCCTTGGCCTTCCAAAGTGCAAGGATTACAGGTGTGAGCCACCACGCCTGGCCGGAGGGGCATTCTAACGGATGGACCTTGAGGACATGACACTAAGTGAAATAAGCCATTCCACAGAAGAACAAATACTGTGTGATTCCACTTATATGAGCTACCTAGAGTTAAATTCATAGAGGAGTTTGGTGCTTGCCAGGGGTGGGGAGGGGAGAATGGGGAGTTATTGTTTAATAGACACAGAATTTTAGTTTGGGAAGATGAAAACGTTCTAGAGACGGGTAGTCGTGTTGGTTGTACATTATGATTTTTTTTGTTTGAGATGGATTTTTGCTCTTGTTGCCCAGGCTGGGGTACAGTGGCACCATCTCAGCTTGCTGCAACCTCTGCCTCTCAGGTTCAAGCAATTCTCCTGCCTCAGCTTCCCAAGTAGCTGGGATTACAGGCATGCACCACCACACCCAGCTAATTTTGTATTTTTAGTAGAGATGGGGTTTCTCCATGTTGGTCAGGCTGGTCTCAAACTCCCGACCTCAGGTGATCCACCCGCCTTGGCCTCCGAAAGTGCTGGGATGACAGGCTGAGCCACCACGCCCGGCCATGCATGTTTTCAGTACCAATGAACTGGATACATAAAAATGGGTAAGGTGGCTCACATCTATAATTCCAGCACTTTTGGAGGCTGATGCAGGAGAATCACTTTAGGCCAGGAGTTCCAGACCAGCCTGGACAACATAGGAAGACCCCATCTCTCTGCGCCCCCCACCCCCAAATTAGCCAGATGGTGCCTGTAGTCCCAGGTCACTTGAGCCCAGGACTTCAAGGCTGAATGAGCTAGGATGGCACCACTGCATTCCAACCTGAGCAGCAGTGTGACTTTGACTCCCAAGAAAGAAAAGGGGGGTGTTGAAACAGTAAATTTTAAGTGATTGTAATTTTACAACAACAACAAAAAAATGGAGGCTAGGTGCTGTCGGGTATTTGTAACCCAAGCGGTTTGGGAGGCTGAGGAGCCGATCACCTGAGGTCAGGAGTTTGAGACTAGCTGGGCTAACATGGTGAAACCCCTGTCTCTACTTAAAATGCAAAAAAAATTAGCTGGGTGAGGTGGTGGGCACCTGTAACCCCAGCTACTTAGGATGCTAAGGCAGGAGAATCACTTGAACCCTGGAGGTGGAGGTTGCAGTGAGCCGAGATCGCACCACTGCACTCCAGCCTGGACAGCAGAGAGAGAGACCCCGTCTCAAGAAAAAAAAGGAAAAACAATCCTCTTGCCTCAGCCTCCCAAAGTGCTGGGATGACAGGTGTGAGCCACCGTGTCCGGCCAGTTCGGTGATGTTTAGTGTAGTCAGCGATGCAGCCGTCTTTCAAATCAACCCTAGAACATTTGTTAAACGTTGCTTTTAACTACCAAGCTGCAATTCCTTCTCCCCACAGCCCTGGGAAACCAATAATCTATTTTCTTTCTCTGTGGATTTGCTTATTCTGGGCATTTCATATGCGTGAAATCGTGTGAACAGAATTCCTGTAAATGGGATTGTCCACTACGTGGCCTTGTGTCTGCTTTCTCTTCCTGAGCAGAGTTTCTGAGGTCTTCCTTGCTGTAGCCTGAGTCAGTGCTCCACTCCTTTTCACAGCTGTGTAATATTCTGCCCCTCTGAGGGACCATGTTGTTATCTCTTTACCCACGGATGGACATTGGTTTCTACCTTCTGGCTTCTGTGAAGAACGCCATGCGAACATTGGTGCATGTGCTTTTGTGTAGACGTGTTTTGTGTAAAAATGTTTTCATTTCTCCAGGGTCAGTATCTAGGAGTGGGTTGTTAACATAAACCTTTTTCTATCCCGGGTTTTCAGGAGGCAACGTCATCCTGGCCTGCCGAGACATGGAGAAGTGTGAGGCGGCGGCCAGAGCCATCCGCCGGGAGACCCTCAATCACCATGTGAATGCCCGGCACCTGGACCTGGCCTCCCTCAAGTCCATCAGGGAGTTTGCAGCGAAGATCAGTGAAGGTAGGAGAACATTGGCCTTGTGCGATGAGGTCTGGATGGGCGGCTCCCGGGGGCAGGCTCTGAGGAGTGAATGAACCGAGTAAGCTTTAGAGCTTAGTTTTGGTGAACTGTGGCCCAGGGGCCAAATCCAGTGGCTGCCTTTTTTTTGTACAGCCTGCAAGCTATGACTATTTTCATTTTTTATTTATTATGTATTTTTTTTTTAAAGATGGGGTTTCACCATGATGGCCAGGCTGGTCTTGAACTCCTGACCTCTGCTGATCCACCCACCTCGGCCTCCCAAAGTGCTAGGATTACAGGCATGAGCCACCGCGCCCAGCTATTTTTGAGACGGAATCTTGTTCTGTTGCCCAGGCTGGAGTGCAATGGCATGATCTCAGCTCACTGCAACCTCTGCCTCCTGGGTTCAAGTGATTCTCCTGCCTCAGCCTTCCGAGTAGCTGGGACTACAGTTATGTGCCACCACACCTAGCTAATTTCTTGTATTTTTAGTAGAGATGGGGTTTCTCCACGTTGTTCAGGCTACTCTCAAATTCCTGACCTCAGGTGGTCCTCCTGCCTTGGCCTCCCAAAGTGCTGAAGTGCTGGGATTTCAGGCATGAACCACCATACCCGGTCTGAATAATTAGTTTTTTTGAGGCAGGGTCTGTCTCTGTCACCCAGGCTAGAGTGCAGTGGCACAGACACAGCTCCCTGCAGCCTTGATCTCCTGGGCTCAAGCGATCCTCCTGCCTCAGCCTCCTGAGTAGCTGGGGCTATAGATAGAAGCCACCGAACCTGGCTAAATTTTTTGTTTTTGAGACAGGGTCTTGCTCTGTCACCCAGGCTGGAGGTGCAGTCAGGGCTCACTGCAGTCTCAACCTGCTGGGCTCAAGTGATCCTCCCAGTTCAGCCTCCCAAGTAGCTGGGTGTACAGGCTTATGCCACCACACACAGCTAATTTTAAAAAAATTTTTTTTGTAGAGTTGGGTTTCACTATGTTGCTCAGGCTGGTCTCAAACTCCTGGGCTCAACTGATCCACCCAAATTGCTGGGATTACAGGCTTGAGCCACCGCGCCCGGCCTTATTAAGTGCTTATGGATCCAGTGTCTTCCCCACCATGGTTAAAGAAATAAGTGTCTGTTATGGGGCATTTATAAAATACTGCAGTGCAAAGACGACAGGACTGGTTGGGCGCAGTGGCTCACGCTTGTAATGCCAGCATTTTGGGAGGCTGAGGTGGTTGGATCCCTCGAGGTCAGGAGTTCAGTACCAGTGACCATATAGCTTTTCTATCCTTGTTCATCTTAAATAGGCTCAAGAATACATCAGACATTATTATTTTATTTTTGAGATGGAGTTTTGCTGCTGCTGTCCAGGCTGGAGTGCAGTGGCGTGATCTCTGCTCACCGCAGCGTCCACCTCTTGAGTTTGAGCAATTCTCCTGCCTCAGCCTTCCGAGTAGCTGGGCTCACAGGCGCCCACCACCACGCGCAGCTGATTTTTGTGTTTTTAGTAGAGATGGGTTTTGCTGTTTTGGCCAGGCTGGTCGATTATAGGCATGAGCACCGTGCCCGACCCCTTTGTTTCCTTGTCTGGCACTGGAAAGGGCCAAAGCTTTCTTGGTCAGAGTCGATGTGCCCTGCTCAGTAAGTGGACGAAGAATGGGGTGTTGTGGGACCTCATTTATTTAGCAAACGTGATCTGAGACCTGACCCAGGTGCTGGAGGTGTGAGATGAACTAAAGCTGTCCTCGTGCCACTCACAGCTGTAGGGAGGCAGGCGCAGGCGCTCACTCATTCACACGTGTTGAGTCCCCTCCTGTGCCCTTGGGGATTAAGAGGGAGCGCACTGTGGATGTTGTGGAGTAGGCGAGAGGCGCTGTGGTAAGATCACAAAGAACAGGGAGAGGGTGATGCCTTAGAGGTGGGTGTAACGTTTTTATTTTTCCTGAGACGGAATCTCACTCTGTCACCCAGGGTGGAGTGCAGTGGTGTGATCTTGGCTCACTGCAGCTTCTGCCTTCTGGGTTCAAGCATAAATTCTCCTGCCTCAGCCAATGTAGTAGCTGGGATCACAGGCGTGCACCACCATGCCAGGCTAATTTTGTGTTTTTGGTAGAGACGGGGCTTCACTGTGTTGGCCATGCTGGTCTCAAACTCCTGACCTCAGGTGATCCACCTGCCTCGCCCTCCCAAACTGCTGGGATCACAGGCGTGAGCCACCATGCCCGGCTAATTTTGTGTTTTTGGTAGAGACGGGGCTTCACTGTGTTGGCCATGCTGGTCTCAAACTCCTGACCTCAGGTGATCCACCTGCCTCGCCCTCCCAAACTGCTGGGATCACAGGCGTGAGCCACCATGCCCGGCCGGGTCTGAGGTTTTCACCCACCTGTCTGTGGCACTGGCACTTCGTTATGGAACCTGAACCCAGTGGCACAGGGAGGAAGGTGCTGTGGAAACTGAGGCTCCGTCTGTGTGCCCTGTGGTTGCTTGTGCGAGTGAGGTGGCAGGTTTGGGAATGAAACCAGCGCCTGAGAACCTGCAGGAAAGAGTCCCAGGGCTTCCATGGAGGTGTGCAGGGTGTGTGTGTGTCCTGGGGCTGCTGTAACCGTGTACCGCAAACCCAGGGGCTTCCACCCTCGGAAGCGCATTCCCTCACCGTTCTGGAAGCCAGCAGTTGGAATCTGGGTGTCTCTGGGGCTGTGTTCCTGTGAGCCGGGCTGTAATCCTCCCAGCCTCCTCCACTTCCAGTGCAGTCGCCCACACCTCTCTTGTCCGTGTCTCCGTCTGTTTTCCCTTCCTGTAAGGTCACCAGGCCGGGTGCTGGCTCACATCTAGAATTCCAGCACTTTGGGAGGCCGAGGCGGGCAGATGAGCTGAGGTCAGGAATTTGAGACCAGCCTGACCAACATGGTGAAAACCCCATGGCTACAAAAAAAATAAATTAGCTGGGTGTGGTGGCATGTGCCTGTAATCTCGGCTATGATCTCCGCCTTGCGTGTTCAAGCGATTCTCCTGCCTCAGCCTCCTGAGTAGCTGGGATTACGGGCATGGGTGACAAGAGTGAAACTGTCTCACTAAACAAACAAACCGGACACCAGTCATTGGATTAGGCCTCACCCTAATGTGGCCGCTTCTGCACAGCCTGTTTCCAGCAGGGGCCACCTTCACGGGCTCCGGAACGTTTCTACTGTGCCTCAGGCCGGGGTCTGTCCTCACCCTGAGGTCTCCTTCCCCACCCCTCTTCTAGAGGAGGAGCGAGTGGACATTCTAGTCAACAACGCGGCCGTGATGCGGTGCCCCCACTGGACCACGGAGGACGGCTTTGAGATGCAGTTTGGCGTTAACCACCTGGGTGAGTCCTGGGCAGGGGGCCACACCGTGGGCTCAAGCCATCCTCCCCCTCCCGAAGTGCTGGGATTACAGGCGTAAGCCACCGTGCCCGACCAAAAGTGACCTTGTCACCCTTTAACCCAGGCCACTTTCTCTTGACAAACTTGCTGCTGGACAAGCTGAAAGCCTCAGCCCCTTCCCGGATCATCAACCTCTCGTCCTTGGCCCACATTGCTGGGCACATAGACTTTGATGACCTGAACTGGCAGACGAGGAAGTATGACCCCAAAGCCGCCTACAGCCAGAGCAAGCTGGCCGTCGTCCTCTTCACCAAGGAGCTGAGCCGGCGGCTGCAAGGTATGGGGCGCTAGGCTCGGCCTCCCTCTTTACTTTGAGCCCAGAGCAGCCCTTCGGTGATCCTGGGCTGGGCGGAGGCCAGGCTGTGGCTCTAGAACAGAGTGGGCTAAAACAGAGCATAGGGACCACCCTGCCTGCTTCTGGTGCCTGAAGCAGACGTAACTAATCGATCGTTGTTCTGATGATTGTTCATTCATTCCAGGTGGCCTAGTCTGCCTGGATCAGTGTCCTTCCCTGCATTCGGTAGGCAGCCCAGCCTTCTGGCTCCAGCCAGTGAGTCTCAGCCAGGAGCACTTCTGGCCTGGAATTGTCATACCTGGAGGCACAGTAACCACAGCTGGGTCGGGGAGAGATTGCTCTGGGCATCTGGAGGGTAAAGGCCCACATGCTGTTCAGTGTCCTGCAGCACACAGGACAGCCCCTCACCCCTCAAAGCCCGCAGCATCCGCTGAGAAATCTGCCCTGGGCCCTTGCCTCTGAAAGATGGTCTGTGGACCAGCAGTGCCTCAAAGCCCGCAGCGTCCGCTGAGAAATCTGCCCTGGGCCCTTGCCTCTGAAAGATGGTCTGTGGACCAGCAGTGCCAACCCCACTGGGAGCTGGTCTCAGATCCCAGCCCCACCCACTGATTCAGACTCCTGGGTGAGCCTGGTGTTCTGGGTCTATCAAGCCCTCCAGGAAATCTCTGCCCCCAGGCGCCACGTGGCAGAGCTGCTCTGCAAGATAAGACCACCTTACTAAGATTTCAGCGCAAGAGCGACGATGGGGTTTGAGTATAGGAAGCCCCAGAGCTGAGTGTGGGCTGCCACAGCCTTCCAGGTAAGGACCCCTCCCTCAGTCTTCTCTTTTTCCCCAGGCTCTGGCGTGACTGTCAATGCCCTGCACCCCGGTGTGGCCAGGACAGAGCTGGGCAGACACACAGGCATCCATGGCTCCACCTTCTCCAGCACCACGCTCGGTGAGTCCCCTCCCAGCCTGGGGTCTCTGCACTGAGCCCTCCACCCCAGGGCCCAGGACCCTCCCTCAGAGACGGTCCCTGGGGCCTCATACCTGCTCCTCCCCTGCATCATACGAGGCAGAGAGGTTGAGTCCCTTTCCTGTGTTGATGTGGCCTGCCACCCTCCAACAGCCCCAGGAAGCAGGCAGAGCGCTGCTGGCTGATGAGAAAACCATGTCTCAGAGGAAGAGGCCGTGGAACTGACTCCTGGAGTCAGGCTGTGCTCGGGTTAGCTCCAGCTTCACCCCACACCAGCCGTGTCTCCTGGGGAAATGGTGTAACCTCCCCCCCCCCCCCCCCCCCCGACCAGCCTCTTTCTTCATCTGCAGAGACGAGGCCTTCCTGAAAAGGGCCAGCACCGTGACCCACCCAGAGAATAGGCTGTATAAACAGTTGCAGCCTTTCCCTTCCCTTCCCACTCCCTTCACCTGCGGTCCCCTCCCCCTCCCCCTCCCCTTTCCATTCCCTGGTACTTCCCTTCACCTTCCTATCCACTTCGGCTTCCTTTCCCCTCTGCTTCCCTTCTCTTCTGCTTCTGTTCCAAAAAAAAAAAAGAAACAAAAATTAACCTGAGGCTGGTGCCAGGTGCATTTAAGGAGAAATGGGGTAGGGTGAATACTGGGGCTGACCAAGGAGGAGAGCTTTCATTTTCCCGGGCAAAGCCAGGAAGGCTTCTTAGGGAGGCAGCTTTTGGCGTGACCCCTGGTCGGGAGGGATTTGCCAGGGCGGTACCAGGGAAGGGAACTGCAGATGGGAGCCAAGGGTAAGGGGCTGGAGGAGGGCTCTGTGGGACTCCAGGGGCCTGGAACTCCCTGATGGGGGAGTGGGGCTTCCTGACTTCTGAGTGTGTGTGGGCTGATTGCAGGACCCATCTTCTGGCTGCTGGTCAAGAGCCCCGAGCTGGCTGCCCAGCCCAGTACATACCTGGCCGTGGCGGAGGAACTGGCGGATGTTTCCGGAAAGTACTTTGATGGACTCAAACAGAAGGCCCCAGCCCCCGAGGCTGAGGATGAGGAGGTGGCCCGGCGGCTTTGGGCTGAAAGTGCGCGCCTGGTGGGCTTGGAGGCGTCCCATGTGTCCTCTGTGAGGGAGCAGCCCCTTCCCAGATAACCTCGGAAGGAGATTTGAAAGCGAGGATGAAGACAGGCTCCAGGATGGAGCCACGAGACCGAGCACCGCTGTCCGCCACACCCACAGCATCCTCTAGGGGGCGGTGTTGGCACCACCTGAGCCGGGAGACCCAGGATTGCCGGCTGCCACAACCGAAGCATCCTCTAGGGGGCACTGCTGGTCGCGGTGGACTGGCCTGCAGGTGGGCACTGCCCTGGGCTCTGGCTGGTCCCGTGTGCTCTGCTGCCAGCAGGGGAGCAGGGCCATCTGATACTTCCTCTGGGAATCTAAACTGGGTACGGCTGAGGAGGAACAGTCTCTGTGCGCTTGTGGGCGATGTCAGGAGAGCCAGCGGTGCCCATGGGGGTGGGCTCCAAGGTGCTCTGTGAAGAGCATGGGCAGGGTGTCTGACACTCGGTGGATTCCTGGGTCCCTGTGGGACGTTGTACACGCATGGTCCTCTCTTGAGCCTTGGTTTCTCCAGCGGTGAGGTGCTCAGAACAGCTGCTCCCTCCTGTGATGGCGTGGTGTGGCACGCTGTTGTCTGGCCGTTGGCTGTGCACAGCCCTTGCCAGGGGTGCTTGCTGAGGGCTTCCTGTGCCAGATCCCGGCCAGAGAGCACGTGTCATCCGAGGTCAAGCTCTGCCTGGAGTGGACTGGGAACTCCACCAGCTGCTGCAAGGACCTGGGAGTGCCTGGGGCTCCCGCCTTCCTGTCAGTTCTCATCCAAACTGCAGACTCTGAAACTTGCTCATTTAAAAAAAAATGCAGCAGAGTCGTAGGTTTTATTTTTTCCTCTGTGTACGCGGGAACGTCCATGCGCTGAACAAAGACAACTCATGGATTTATTCCTTTTAGGGACACAAGACATCAGGTTATCACCAGGGCACCAGGCCATGCAGAAGTTCAGACTTTTTAGAGATGAAAACTCCTCTTACCCCTTTCACAGGCGATAGTCACTTAAGTCTGGGGCTCTTACAAGACTGATGTGTTAGAAACTGGGTGGAGGTCGGGTGAGCTGAAGGGGCGCTGGGCTTAGGTGCAGAACTGAAGAAGGCACTAAAAAGCTCAGTCATTGGGATACAAAGAGTTTTCCAGTATTTTTCTTTGGGATATTGGGGAGGCCAAGGAAGCTGCTCAGTAGCCTACAATACACAGAACTACCGCTCAGCCCACAGCAGAGTGGTGCGGGCCGTGATGCCACCAGCCCCGGGGAGGGAGGACTGGAGGGGAAATGAAAGACTTACTGAAGCTGTAGAAAAATAGAAGTAGGGCTGGGCATGGTGGCTCACACCTGTAATCCCAGTGCCGTGGAAGGCTGAGGCAGGCGGATCACCTCAGGTCTAGAGTTCGAGACCAGCCTGATCAAGAGGGGGAAATGCTGTCTCTAGTGAAAATACAAAAATTAGCCGGATGTGGTGGTGCACGCCTGTAATCCCAGCTGAGGCAGGAGAATCACTTGAAGTCGGGGGCAGAGGTTGCAGTGAGCAGCAGTCGTGCCACTGCACTTCAACCCAGACTCCATGGCAAAACCAACAAAACCACCTGAGCTCTGTGATGCTATAACTCCCTGCCAGCCCTCTGTCTTGCCTGCTGGATGGCTGGCTGTGATAGAGCTAGCTGCCATGGTGGGCGGCCCTGTGGAGTAGCCAGGGAGGAACTGAGACTCGTCTAACAACTGGGAGAAACAGAATCCCACCAACAACTATGCGTGTGAGCTTGCTGTATGCTCTTGCTAGGGAGCAAGTTATAGGCTCAGCCGAAGAGGAGGGGACCTTCCAGGGAGTGAATACCAGGAGCGGGGAGTCAGGAGACTACCCTAGGCCCCCAGCAGGAGAGTGTGTGTGTGTGTGTGTAGTACGGATTTCTTACTGGGAGATCATGGAAAAGCAAGTTAGAGAAACACTCCCATCAGACGGGGGCCCTGAGGATAATCTCAAAACCTCTGGTTCTCTAAATAATGTGCGTAGGGCTCACCCAAGCACTCTCTTTCCTTTTTTAAATTGTGATAAAAAGTATAGAGCACTGGCCAGGCGTGGTGCATGCCTGTAATGCCAGCTACTAGGTGAGCTGAGGCAAAATTGCTTGAACCCAGAGGGCAGAGGTTGCAATGAACCAAGATCGCACCACTGCACTCCAGCCTGAATGACTGAGCGAGACTCCATCTCAAAAATAAAAAACAAACATGCAGATTCCGGGGGTCACACCTGTAAGATTCTGGTTCCCTAGGTCTTGGGAGGGGTCCAGGGCTCCACATTCCTGACATGCACTTTGAGAAACACCCTGCACCCAGGCTGCCTAAGCCCCACACAGCACCGCAACCTGCCTTGACACCAGGTGCCGTGTGGGGCTTAGGCAGCCTGGGGTACAGTACTGGTGTGTTCCCGTGCCAGTTGGTAAATAGCTACAGCTAAGAACCATCCACCTGCTATCGCTAGGGACCCAGCAATCAAAGGGTTAATATTTGCACACAGCCCCTTCCTCCAGCATCTTGTCCTGCCCGCTGTAGGATTTTTTTTTTCTTTCTTTTTTTAGAGGGAGTCTTGCTCCATGGCCAGAGTGGAGTGCAGTGGCAGGGTCTCAGCTCACTGGAACCTCTGCCTCCCAGGTACAAGTGATTCTGCCTCAGCCTCCCGAGTAGCTGGGACTACAGGCATGCTCCACCAGGCCCAGCTAATTTTTGTATTTTTAGTAGAGACGGGGTTTTACCATGTTGGTTAGGCTGGTCTTGAACTCCTGACCTCAGGTGATCCACCCACCTACGCCTCCCAAAGAGCTGGGATTACATGCATGAGCCACTGCTCCCAGCTATAAGATGTTTTCAATATCCCCCCCTTTGGCGTCACTGCGGCTGGCCCCATATGTACATTCAGTGGCAACCGACTGGGTCCCTGATACACCTGAGCACCCCAAAAACACCCAGTTCCCTGGGACGGAGGATGGCGATGTGTGGCCCTCCTAGAGTTGAGTTTGAGAAATGGTCAAAGGAAGTGGTTTTTAGTAGAAAGCCGGCTTTCCTTTTTTTCTTTCCTGCCAGTAAACTCCAAACAGGAACCTATGGTTGGTGATGGATGTGCGTTCAGAAATGGGGGAGGGAGAAGGAGGGAGAGGGAGGCAGAGGTGAGGGCGTCATGAGCCACAGCTGTCTGCTGCATCACCCCCTCCCGATCTCCAGGAGGCTTTCTGGACCTCCTGCTGTGCAGTGTGAAAGTGCTCTGTCTTCATTCACGTCGAGTAAAGTCAAAAGAGAAACTCTAAAGACGGCGGCGCCTTCCTGCCTTCCCACTCAGGTTGCTGCTGTAGCAGAGTGTGGCCTTGATTTCCAGCTTCACAGCACACAGTCTCATGGTGAGACCCTGCCTGGTGTTGATTCAGAGGCAACAAAGCTCCCAAGGTGCCCGTGAAGGAACCAGGGGCATAAACACAGCCCATGAACTGCAAGGCACAAGACGGGTCCAGCTGGCGGCTGCTGAGCACATACCCAAACCACCCAAGTGGCACCCCAGGGCGACATTGACACCATGTTGACACCATCTCAAGGGAAAAACAAGTCTGGCAGCCTCTGCCACGGCAACACGATTGGAGCCTCACGGGAGAGGCCCTAAGAATATCATTTTCTCGCTCTAAGTTCCTCTTATGGGAGAGAAGTAATGACACTCTTCCTAAACACCAACATCTGTGCATCCTTCCCACCCACACGTGGCACCGGGGCCGTCCTGTGATTTCAGAATGTTGAATGGTGTTCTGGCTTCAACCCACCAGATGTCAGGAGCACCCCGATTTCTGGCGTTGGGTGATCGACTTGACCTTAACTGTCACATTTGATTCTTTTTATGTGTCTTTAAAAAAACCCTAGAAGAAAATCTAGGTAAAACTATTCAGGCCATAGATGTAGGCAAGGACTTCATGACCAGAACACCAAAAGCATTGGCAACAAAAGCCAAAATAGACAAATGGGACCTAATAAAACTCCACAGCTTCTGCACAGCAAAAGAAACAGTCATTAGAGTGAATCGGCAACCAACAGAATGGGAAAAACTTTTTGCAGTTTACCCATCTGACAAAGGGCTGATATCCAGAATCTACAAAGAACTCAAACAGATTTACAAGAAAAAAACAAGCCCATTCAAAAGCGGGTGAAGGATATGAACAGACACTGTAGAAAAGAAGACATACATGAGGCCAACAAACATATGAAAAAATGTTCATCACTGGTCATTAGAGAAATGCAAATCAAAACCACATTGAGATACCATCTCATGCCAGTTAGAATGGTGATCATTAAAACATCTGGAGACAACAGATGCTGGAGAGGACATGGAGAAATAGGAACACTTTTACACTGTTGGTGGGAGTGTAAACTAGTTCAACCATTGTGGAAGACAGGGTGGCGATTCCTCAAGGACCCAGAAATAGAAATTCCATTTGACCCAGCAATCCCATTACTGGGTATATATCCAAAGGACTATAAATCGTTCTACTATAAGGACACGAATGTTCATTGCAGCACTGTTTACAATAGCAAAGACCTGGAATCAACCCAAATGCCCATCGATGACAGACTGGACTGGGAAAATGTGGCACATATACACCATGGAATATCATGCAGCCATCAAAAAGGATGAGCTCGTGTCCTTTGTAGGGACATGGATGAACCTGGAAACCATCATTCTCAGCAAACTGACACAAGAACAGAAAATCAAACATCACATGTTCTCACTCAGGCGGGTGTTGAACAATGAGAACACAAGGACACAGGGAAGGGAGCATCACACACTGGGGTCTGTCGGGGGGAAATAGGGGAGGGACAGTGGGGGGTGGAGAGTTGGGGAGAGATAGCTTGGGGATAAATGCCAGATATAGGTGATGGGGAGGAAGGCAGCAAATCACACTGCCATGTGTGTACCTATGCAACAATCTTGCATGTTCTTCACATGTACCCCCAAATGTAAAGTGCAATTAAAAAAAAAAGAAACCCAGTGGGGCCAGGCTCAGTGGCTCACACCTGTAATCCCAGCACTTTGGGAGGCTGAGGTGGGCACATTGCTTGAGCCCAGCAGTTCAAGACCAGCCTGGGTGACATAGTGAAATCCATCTCTACAAAAATAAGTAAATAAATTTTTTTTTGAGATGGAGTTTTGATCTTGTTACGCAGGCTGGCGTGCAATGGTACGGTCTCAGCTCACCACAACCTGCCTCCCAGGTTCAAGTGATTCTCCTGCCTCAGACTCCTGAGTAGCTGGGATTACAGGCGCCCACCACCACACCTGGTTAATTTTGTATTTTTAGTAGAGACAGGATTTCAACATGTTGGTCAGGCTGGTCTCAAACTCCTGACCTCAGATGATCTGCCCGCCTTGGCCTTCCAAAGTGCTGGGATTATAGGTGTGAGCCACCACACCCGGCCCAAGACCCTGTTTTCAATCCTTTTAGGTGTATACCCAGAATTGGAATTGCTGGGTTTTATGGCAACCCCACGTTTAACTTTTGGAGGCGCTGCTAACCTGTTTTCCATAGCAGCAGCACCATGTCACATCCCCACCAGCAATGCACGAGCATTCCAGTTTCTCTGCACGCTCAGCCACGTTTGCTATTATCCATTTAAAAGTGTGAAATCGTATCTCACTGTGGTTCTGATGTACATTTTCCTAGCGACCATCAGAGACTTTATGGGAACATGGGAGGACAGCCCAGGCCCCAGTGGGCAGACGAGTGGTGCAGAGCCAGGCTGGCCGGTGGAGATAAGCGAGCCTCCTTGGAGCTTGTGTGCAAGTCACAGTACTGAGGAGCCGGCTACAGCTCGATGAGCCTCAATTAGGAAAGGCCGGGGCTGGTGAAGGAAGGGAGGAGGGCATTCTTCATCCTCATCACATCCTGAGCCTGTGCCCCCGACTCCCACCACTTCCCTCCCTGGCCACAGAGCTCAGGACAGGGCCGAGGAACCATGTCTCCATTCCTGACCGCCCTCTTCTGTCTTGGTGAGTCCTGAGGGTGGATCTGGGAACTGATGGGCAGGCATGGACTGCCAGCCAAAGGATTTTTTTTAAGAATTTGTGGCCGGGGCGGTGGTTCATGCCCGTAATCCCAGCACTTTGGGAGGCTGAGGTGGGCGATCACAAGGTCGAGAGATTAAGACCATCCTGGCCAACATGGTGAAACCACACCTTTACTAAAAAATACAAAAATTAGCTGGGTGTGGTGGCGTGTGCCTGCAGTCCCAGCTACTCCGGAGGCTGAGGCAGGAGAATTGTTTGAACCCGGGAGGCAGAGGTTGTAGTGAGCCAGTATCATCTCACTGCACTCCAGCCTGACAACAGAGCGAGACTCCGTCTCAAAAAGAAAGAAAAAAAAGAATTTGTATCAGTAATGAATTTCAGGACAAAAAAGGACCTATGAGAGCCCCTTGGTTTGCTGGGTGGGGAAATGAGGGGCCAGCAAAGTGGAGTGTTTTGTATGAGTGATTCCAGTTTATTCATGGCTGGGTCAGTAAATGACCAGAGATATCCTACTGTTGGTCACAGCTTTGTTCCACTACACTGCAGTTCCCCTTTTAAAAAAAATGTGGGCCGGGCACGGTGGCTCATGCCTGTAATCTCAACATTTTGGGGGGGCTGAGGTGGGTGGATAACCAGAGGTCAGGAGTTCGAGACCAGCCTGGTTAACATGGGGAAACCCTGTCTCTACAAAAATACAAAAATTAGCCAGGAATGATAGCAGGTGCCTGTTATCCCAGCTACTCTGGGGGCTGAGGCAGGAGAATCACTTGAACCTGGGAAGCAGAAGTTGTAGTGAGTTGAGATCACACCACTGCACTCCAGCCTGCACAAGAGAGAGACTCGGTCTCAAAAAAAAAAAAAAAAAAAAAAAATGGCCGGGCGTGGTGGCTGTCACCTGTAATCCCAGCACTTTGGGAGGGTGAGGTGGGTGGATCACCTGAGCTTGGGAGTTCAAGACCAGCCTGACCAACATGGAGAAACCCTGTTTCTACTAGAAATACAAAGTTAGCCAGACATGCCGGTACATACCTGTAATCCTAGCTACTCTGGAGGCTGAGGCAGGAGAATCACTTGAAACCAGGAGGCGGAGGTTGTGGGGAGCTGAGAATGCGCCATTGCACTCCAGCCTGGGCAACAAGAGCGAAACTCGGTCTCAAAAAAAAAAAAATGTGGACTTGATATCAGGACAAGGTTATGGGCTGAATTTGTCAGTATCCCCTATAGTAGTGGAGTAAGAGTCTCTTGAAGGATGGGTGATGGGTCAAATGCATTTCTGCTGCCTATTCCTCACTGTGGAAGCCAGACACCGTGGCTCACACCTGTAACCCCAATACTTTGGGAGGCAGAGGTGGGTGGATTGCTCGAGACCAGCCTGGTGGGCAACATAGTGAGACCCCCGTACCTACTAAAATTAGGCACGTCGAATGCATTATTGCCTTATTTCTTCAGGAGAATTTGACCACTAGCGGGACAGCGTCTCCAAGAGGCTAAGCAGGAAGGAGATGGTTGTGTTACTGGAGAGGGTAAACTGTGACAATAAACAACCTCTCATCATTCATACATGGACGTAGTATTTTAATTTTTATGTAATTTGATTTGAGACAGGGTCTCACTTTTGTCACCCAGGCTGGAGTGCAGTGGCACGATCATGGCTCACTGCAACCTCCACCTCCCAGGCTCAAGCAATCCCTCCCCCTCTATCTCCTGAGTAGCTGGAACTCCAGCTGCATACCATCACGCCTGGCTAATTTTCGTAGTTACAGGATCTCGCTATGTTGCCCAGGCTGGTCTTGAACTCCTGGGGTTACAGGTGTGAGCCACAGTGTCTGGCTTCGTTTTTGCTTCAGTAGCTTCAGGAATACAAGTAGTTTTGGTTACATGGATTGAATTATATAGTGAATTCTGAGATGTCAGTGCACCTGTCACCTGAGTAGAGGACATTGTACCTACGGTGTGGTTTTTTATCCCTAGCCTCCCATCTGCCCTTCTCCTTCTGAGCCTCTAAAGTCAGTCACAGTACTCTATGCCTTTGCATACCCACAGCGTAGCTCCCACTGGTAAGTGAGAACATACGGATTTTGGTTTTCCACTCCTGCGTTACTTCACTTAGAATAATACCTTCTAGCTCCATGCAATTTGCAGCAAAAGACATTATTTCATTCCTTTTAACGGCTGAGTAGTATTCCACACTCATTTATTTATTTATTTATTTATTTGGACACAAAGTCTCGCTCTGTTGCCCAGGCTGGAGTGCAACGGCGTGATGTCAGCTCAGTGCAGCCTTTGCCTCCTGGGTTCAAGCAATTCTCTTGCCTCAGCCTCCCGAGTAGCTGGGATTACAGGCACCCGCCACTACACCCAGCTAATTTTTGTATTTTTAGTAGAGAAGGGGTTTCATCATGTTAGTTAGGCTGGTCTGGAACTCCTGACACGTCAGCCTCCCAAAGTGCTGGGATTACAGGCGTGAGCCACTGCGCCCAGCCGCTAACATTTCTTACAGGTTCAGGGGTACATGTGCAGGTGTGTTATGTGGGTAAATTGCATGTCCAAGAGCTTGGCATACATGTTATTTCACCAACTAGGTAGTGAGTGTAGTGCCTGACAGGCAATGCTTTTTTTTTTTTTTTGCGATGGAGTCTTGCTTCATTGCCCAGGCTGAAGTACAGTGGTGTGGAGTTGGCTCACTGCAGTCTCTGCCTTCTGGTTCAGACGATTCTCCTGCCTCAGCCTCCAAAGTAGCTGGGATTACAGGAATCCACCACAACAGGCCAATTGTTTTATTTTTAGTAGAGACAGTGTTTCATCATGTTGGCTAGGCTGGTCTTGAACTCCTGACCTCAGGTGATCTGCCTGCCTCAGCCTCCCAAAGTGCTGGGATTGCAGGTGTGAGCCACTGCGCCCCACCTCCTGATAGGAAGTTTCTTGATCCTCTCCCTCCTTCCACCCTCTACCTTCAAGGAGGGGCTTGCTTGTCATCCATCTATGTGTCCATGTGTTCTCAGTGTTCAGCTCCCACTTTTTTTTTTTTTTTTTTTTGAGACAGAATCTCACTCTGTCACCAGGCGCCAGGCTGGAGTGCAGTGGTGCGACCCCGGCTCACTGCAACCTCTGCCTCCCGGGTTCAAGCAATTCTCCTGCCTCAGCCTCCCGAGTAGCTGGGACTACAGGCACGCACCACCACACCCAGCTAATTTTTTTTTTTTTTTGTATTTTTAGTAAGACGGGTTTCACTATGTTAGTCAGGATGGTCTCAATCTCTTGACCTCGTGATCCACCCGCCCTGGCCTCCTAAAGTGCTGGGATTACAGGCGTGAGCCACCGCACCTGGCCAGTGTGGGGTTCTACTGCATGTACTGCATGTACAATAAAAGAAAGACCATGATATACGACATGCAATACTATTCACAATAACTGTCTACACAAACGCGTCTCATTGTGCACGTGCTGGATACTGTTTAATACTGGGAGACGGAGGGAGGAGATGAAGGGACGGCAATGTCTGAGGTCACACTCCTCACACCCACTGAGGACGGCAGTGTGCAGTTCCTGACTCTAATGAACACAGACAGTAGTGTGCATTCCTCACACCCACTGAGGACGGCAGTGTGCAGTTCCTGACTCTAATGAACACAGACAGCAGTGTGCATCCCTCACACCCACTGAGGACGGCAGTGTGCAATGTCTGACTCTAATGAACACAGTAGTGTGCATTCCTCACACCCACTGAGGACGGCAGCGTGCAGTTCCTGACTCTAATGAACACAGACAGTAGTGTGCATCCCTCACACCCACTGAGGACGGCAGTGTGCAGTTCCTGACTCTAATGAACACAGACAGCAGTGTGCATTCCTCACACCCACTGAGGACGGCAGTGTGCAGTTCCTGACTCTAATGAACACAGACAGTAGTGTGCATTCCTCACACCCACTGAGGACGGCAGTGTGCAGTTCCTGACTCTAATGAACACAGACAGTAGTGTGCATTCCTCACACCCACTGAGGACGGCAGTGTGCAGTTCCTGACTCTAATGAACAGAGACAGCAGTGTGCATTCCTCACACCCACTGAGGACGGCAGTGTGCAGTGCCTGACTCTAATGAACAGAGACAGCAGTGTGCATTCCTCACACCCACTGAGGACGGCAGTGTGCAATGCCTGACTCTAATGAACACAGACAGTAGTGTGCATTCCTCACACCCACTGAGGACGGCAGTGTGCAATGCCTGACTCTAATGAACACAGACAGTAGTGTGCATTCCTCACACCCACTGAGGACGGCAGTGTGCAGTTCCTGACTCTAATGAACACAGACAGCAGTATGCCTACTTTTTTCTAGAACCATGAAGATGTAAAAAAATGCAAAAGGAACAATATAACTAGTAAGAAATGTATGCAGGGCAGGGGCAATGGTAGGAGCCAGTCAGGATGGGCAAGCAATCTCGGCTTGACTTTCAAAAGATCTGCTTTTTGAGATCGGGGCTCACAGCGTTGTCCAGGCTGGAGTGCAGTGGGCACCATCTTGGCTCCCTGCAAGCTTGACCTCCTGGGCTCAAGGAATCCTTCCACCTCAGCCACTCCAAGTAGCTTGGACCAGAGGCACATAGCACCATGCCTGGCTAATTTTTTTTTTTTTTTCTTTTTCTTGGTAGAAATCAGGTCTCACTATGTTGCCCAGCCTGGTCTCCAACCCCTGACCTTATGTGCTTTAGCCTCCTTGGCCTCCCAAAGTGCTGGGATTACAGGTGCAAGCCACTGTGCCTGGCCCTAAAACAGTTGTAACTGTGGTGAAATGAACAGAATGGAAGGTCTGCTTTATCTGACACTTGGTGCATTCAGTGTTGTTCACCACCACCCCGTCTATCTGCAAAACATTATGGCACCTCCCAGGAACCCCACGGCCGTCCAGCAGTCACTTCTCGTCCTCGCTCTCCCGACCACCCCCAGCCATGTGTCTCTGTCTTCTGTAGATTTACCCCTTCTGGATATTTCATATAAATGACATCGTAAACAATGTGGCTTTTTCTGACTGGCTTCTCTCACTCAAATTACATGCCTGTGTGTCTTTTGAAGAAATAAGTGATTAGGAGAGAATAAAGCACAGGCATGCAAATGTCTTGTCGCCGCACCCAGCAGGCAGCAGTGTTTATAAAAGTCAGTCCTGGCCTCTAGTCTCTTTCTTCTCTCCTCAGGGCTGTGTCTGGGGCATGTGCAAGCACAGAGCGGTGAGTCCTTCCCTCCTGTGGGATCCACCAGCAGGTGGGGGAAGTGGGTTCCAGGCGAGGTCTGCAGGGAGGCTGACCCAGCTCTGCTCCTCTTCCAGGACCACTCCCCAAGCCCTCCCTGCAGGCTGTGCCCAGCTCCCTGGTGCCTCTGGAGAAGCCAGTGACCCTCCGGTGCCAGGGACCTCCGGGTGTGGACCTGTACCGCCTGGAGAAGCTGAGTTCCAACAGCTACCGGGATCAGGCGGTCCTCCTCATCCCAGCCATGAAGCAAAGTGACGCTGGACGCTACCGCTGCTCCTACCAGAACGGAAGCCGCTGGTCCCCGCCCAGCGACCAGCTGGAGCTCATTGCCACTGGTAAAGGACAGGGGATTGTAGCCTGGGACTGTATGGGCCTCCGTTCGGGACACGAATATGGGGGATGTTAGGCCGGGCATAGTAGCTCACACTTCTAATCCCAGCACTTTGGGAGGCCCACGTGGGTGGGTCACCCGAGGCTGGGAGTTCGAAACCAGCCTGACCAACATGGAGAAAACCATCTCTACTAAAAACACAAAATTAGCCGGGCACGGTGGCACACGCCTGTAATCCCAGCTACTCCGGAGGCTGAGGCAGGAGAATCGCTCGAACCCAGGAGGTGGAGGTTGTAGTGAGCCAAGATCAACTTGCTGCACTCCAGCCTGGACACCAAGAGTGAAATTCCATCTCAAAAAAAAGGGGGGATACTGAGAATAGGGCCTAGGGCCCAGATTACGGTGAGGCCAGTGAGGCACTGGCCTAGTGGGTGGCGCCACAACATTTATGGATCAATGTGAAGAATATTTTATTTATTTTCTGGAGACAGCGGCTTGCTGTGTCACCCACACTGGAGTGCAGTGGCTGATCCTGGCTCACTGCAGCCTCTACCTCCTGGGCTCAAGCGATCCTCCTGCCTCAGCCTTCCAAGTAGCTGGGACTATAGCTGTGCGCCACCACGCCCAGCTGATTTTTTTTTTTTTTTTTTTTTTTAAGATGGGGTCTCTTGACAGTTTTCACAAAAGGCATTAAGAAAGAAAAGGCTGGGTGCGGTGGCTCACACCTGTAATCCCAGCACTTTGGGAGGCCAAGGTGAGTGGATCACCTGAGGTCAGGGGTTTGAGACCAGCCTGACCCATATGGTGAAACCCTGTTTCTACCCAAAATACAAAAATTAGCCGGGTGTGGTAGCGCCACCTGTAGTCCCAGCTACTTGGGAGGCTGAGACAGGAGAATTGCTTGAACCTGGGAGGCGGAGGTTGCAGTGAGCCGAGATCACGCCACTGCACTTTAGCCTTGGTGACAGGGTGAGACTCTGTCTCAAAAACAACTACCACCACTACCAAAACCTTTGTTTTGGATTTTTAGACTGACAGAAAAGTTGCAAAAGATAACACCAATGGAAATATTTCACCCGGGATCCCCTCATGTTAACATCTTACATTTATTACAACAACAACAACAAAGAGAGCATTGGTCCCAGTGGCTCACACCTGTAATCCCAGCACTTTGGGAGGCTGAGGCAGGAGGATCACTTGAGCTCAGGGGTTCGAGACCAGCCTGGGCAACACAGTGAGACCCCATCTTCACAAAAAAATAAAACATTAGTGGAGCAGCATGGTAGCAGGACCTATAATCCCAGCTACTCAGGAGGCTGAGGCAGAAGGATAGCTTGAGCCAGGGAGGTTGAGGCTGCAGGGAGCTGTGATCAAGCCACTGCACTCCAACCTGGTTGACAGAGCGAGACTCTGTATTAAAATAAAAAAAAAAGAAGGCCGGGCGTGGTGGCTCATGCCTATAATCCCAGCACTTTGGGAGGCCGAGGTGGGTAGATCATGAGGTCAAGAAGAGATCGAGACCATCCTGGTCAACATGGTGAAACCCCGTCTCTACTAAAAATATAAAAATTAGCTGGGCAAGGTGGCACGCGCCTGTAGTTCCAGCTACTCAGGAGGCTGAGGCAGGAGACCTGCTTGAACCCAGGAGGCGGAGGTTGCGGTGAGCTGAGATTGCGCCATTGCACTCCAGCCTGGGTAACAAGAGCGAAACTCCATCTCAAAAAAAAGAAAAAAAGAAAAAAAACCAAAAATGGATATATGCAAGGTATACAACTTGACGTTCTGATATACGTATCCACTGTGATAGTCTGCCATCAAGCTAATCAACATATATCACCTCCCACAGTTCACTATTTTTTGGTGTGAGAACACTTTTAATCGACGCTCTTAGCAAATTTCAAGTGTACCCTGCAGTGTTGTTATCTGGGGTTGGACAAATTGTTTAACGCCATGTGCCTTAGTTTCATTTGTTTTTATTTTATTTTTTTGAGATGGAGTTTCACTCTTGTTGCCCAGGCTGGAGTGCAATGGCGCAATCTCAGATCACTGTAAACTCTGCCTCCCGGGTTCAAGCGATTCTCCTGCCTCAGCCTCCCGACTAGCTGGGACTACAGGCATGTGCCACCACGACTGGCTAATTTTGTATTTTTAGTAGAGATGGGGTTTCTCCATGTTGGTCAGGTTGGTCTCAAACTCCCAACCTCAGGTGATCCGCCCGCCTCGGCCTCTCCAAGTGCTGGGATTACAGGCGTGAGTCATTTTGCCTGACCAGTTTCATTTATAAAATAGGGACATTAATAGTGATGACCTTGTAGGTATCTGTGAGGATTCACTGAATTGATACATGTCCTGAGTTTGGAAGGCACCTGGAAGCTGGCACTTTCACCCACGTTTGCGAAGGAATGATCGCATGCTGCAGTGTAAGCTTCCGGCACAGCCTAAGCTTAAGCTCTTTTTTTTTTTGAGACGGAGTTTCGCTCTTGTTACCCAGGCTGGAGTGCAATGGCGCGATCTCGGCTCACCGCAACCTCCGCCTCCTGGGTTCAGGCAATTCTCCTGCCTCAGCCTCCTGAGTAGCTGGGATTATAGGTACATGCCACCGTGCCCAGCTAATTTCTTTTGTATTTTTAGTAGAGATGGGGTTTCACCATGTTGACCGGGATGGTCTTGATCTCGTGACCTCATGATCCACTTGCCTCGGCCTCCCAAAGTGCTGGGATTACAGGCTTGAGCCACCGCGCCCAGCCAGCTTAAGCTCTTTACCTGCTATTCGTATCTCCAGTGCTTGCTAGGCCACTCTGCTAAACGCTCGCTGTGGACTGTCTCCTTCAATCATCCCCTGCTCCTTTTTGTTTCTGAGATGGAGTTTCACTCTGTCGCCCAGGCTGGAGTGCAATGATGTGATCTTGGCTCACTGCAACCTCCGACTCCTGGGTTCAAGCCTCCTGCCTCAGCTTCCTGAATAGCTGGGATTACCATACCCGGCTAAGTTTTGTACTTTTAGTAGAGATGGGGTTTCACCATGTTGGTCAGGCTGGTCTCAAAATCCTGACCTCGAGATCCACCCACCTCAGTCTCCCAAAGTGCTGGGATTACAGGCATGAGCCACAGCACCCGGCCCAATCATCCCCATTTTAACAAAACAAGGTAGTGAGGCTCAGATACAGAGGGAGATTGGTCTCCAGGGCCACTAGCCCCTAAGGGCAGAACCAGGGTTTGCACCAAGCACTAGGATGTGGGCACAGCCTCACTCTGTAAACCATTCATGACTTGACCTCTCTCTGAGCTGGGGCAAGGGAGTGCACTCTGGGAGGGATACAGCCATAAAGCTCCCCAGCTTGGGCAGGCGGGGGGACCTCCCAGCCCCAGCTGAGATACTCGCCTTTAACACCAGACTTCCTTTTCTCCCAGGAGTTTTTCCTAAGCCCTCGCTCTCAGCCCAGCCTGGCCCGGCAGTGTCCCCAGGAGGGGATGTGACCCTACGGTGTCAGACCAAATATGGCTTTGACCAATTTGCTCTGTACAAGGACGGCGACCCTGGACCCTACAGGAACCCCGAGAGATGGTACCGGGCTAGCTTCCCCATCACCACGGTAACCGCTGCCCACAGCGGGACCTACCGCTGCTACAGCTTCTCCAGAAGGGCCCCATACCTGTGGTCGGCCCCCAGTGATCCCCTGGAGCTCGTGGTCACAGGTAGGGGTGTTGCAGACCAAACCTTTCTTCCTCAACCTTTTTAGGTCCTGATAGCCATTCCAAGGGGTGGGGCCCTGGGTGCAAAGGAAACGAGAGGGCAGGAAGCCCCAGGCTTCAGGCAGCTGGGAGGATGTAGGTTTTCCTTTTTTTGATGGAGTCTCACTCTATCATCTAGGCTGGAGTGCAGTGGTGTGATCTCAGCTCACTGCAACCTCCACCTCCCAGGTTCAAGTGATTCTCCTGCCTCAGCCTCCTGAGTAGCTGGGATTACAGGTGTGCGCCACCACACTCAGCTAATTTTTGTATTTTTAGTAGAGATGGGGTTTCACCATGTTGGCCAGGCTGGTCTCGAACTCCTGACCTCAGGTGATCTGCCTGCCTCAACCTCCCAAAGTGCTGGGAGTGCAGGCGTGAGCCACCGCACCTGGCCTCAATTCGATACATTTTAAGAAGTTTTAAAATAAAAAAACAAAACAAAGTTTTTGGAGTTGTACAATCACCACAATCCAATTTTACCAACTTCCATCACTCTAAAAAGACCTCGCGCCCGTCTGTGGTCACTTCCGCTTCCCACTCCCAGCGCCAGGCATCCACCTGTGTACTTTCTTTTTGCATAAATTTGCCTTCTCTGGGCATTTTATATAAATGGAGTCATACACCACATGGTCTTTCGTGACTGGTTTCTTTCACTCAGCATAACGTTTTCAAGGTTCATTCATATGTGTAGAGTGAATCAGTCTTTCATTCTTGCTTTTTAAATTTGTATTTGCAATGGACGAATCACTGTATACGTCTACAGGGTACCATGTGATGTGTTGATGTGTGTATGCACTGTGGAATGATGCTATCCGCTACCTCGCCTGCCAATACCTTACCTACTTTTTTTGGGACAGGGTCTCGGTCACCCAGGATGGAGCGCAGTGGTTTGATCTTGGTTCAGTGCAGCCTCTGCCTCCCAGGTTCTGTGATCCTCCCACCACAGCCTCCCTAGTAGCTGGGACTACAGGTGGGCACCATCATGCCCGGCTATTTTTGTATTTTTTGTAGAGATGGAGTTTCCCATGTTGCCCAGGCTGGTCTTGAACTCCTGGGCTCAAGTGAGCCTCCTGCCTCTGAAAGTGTTGGGATTACAGGCATGAGTCACTACACCTCACCATCTTATAATTTCTTTGTAGTAAGAATGTTTACTGTTTTAGGAATTTTGAAATATACAATGCATTATTATTAACGATGGCTTTGATTTTTTTTTTTTTTTTGAGACGGAGTCTTGCTCTGTCGCCAAGGCTGGAATGCAATAGCATGATCTCTGCTCACTGCAGCCTCCGTCTCCCGGGTTCAAGCGTTTCTCCTGCCTCAGCCTCCAGAGTAGCTGAGACTACAGATGCCTGCCACCATGCCTGGCTAATTTTTGTATTTTTAGTAGAGATGGGATTTTACCATATTGGCCAGGATGGTCTCCAACTCCTGACCTCGGGATTTGCCTGGCTCTGCCTCCCAAAACGCTGGGATTACAGGTGTGAGCCCCGCGCCTGGCCTCAAACATCCACAGCAATCCATTGATGTAAGCTACTTTAGACTCATTTTTCGGGTGAGGAAACTAGGGTACAGAGATGTTTTAGTATTTGTTGATGACTCCCATGACCAGAGCATTTTTCTCATTTTCTGATTTCCCAGGAATCTCTGTGACCCCCAGCAGCCAGTTACCAACGGAACCACCTTCGTCTGCCAAAGGTAAGTTCTGCAAGATCCATTCTGGTGCGCGGGGTGTGAGGCACATGGACTCCTTCTCTTGCCTTTCTGCCTAGGTTTGTCAATTTAACTCACTTGTTTCTTTAAGAAACTTGCTTTGTTTTAAAAACCCTTCACTTCAGTTGGGCGCAGTGGCTCATGCTGGTAATCCCAGCACTTTGGGAGGCCAAGGTGGGCAGATCACGAGGTCAGGAGTTCAAGACCAGCCTGGCCAACATGGTGAAAGTGAAACCCTGTCTCTACTAAAAATATAAAAATTAGCCAGGTGTGGTGGCACGCACCTGTAATCCCACCTACTCGGTAGGTCGAGACAGGAGAATTGCTTGAACTCGGGAGGCAGGAGGTTGCAGTGAGCCAAGATCATGCCACTGCACTCTAGCCTGGGCAACAAGAGCGAAACTGTCTCAAAAAAAGGAAAAAAAAAGAAAAGAGGTTTAGGCCGAATGCAGTGGCTTACACCTGTAATCCCAGCATGTTAAGAGGCCAAGGCAGGTGGATCATGAGGTCAGGCATTGGAGACCAGCCTGGCCAATATGAAAATTAGCTGGGCATGGTAGTGTGTGCCTGTAGTCCAAGCTACTCAGGAGGCTGAGGCAGGAGAATCACTTGAACCCGGGAGGCAGAGGTTGCAGTGAGCCATGATTGTGCCACTGCACTCCAATCTGGATGACAGCGAGACACCATCTCAAAAAAAAAAAAAAAAAAAAAAAAAAAAAAGAAAAGAAAGAGGTGTTTAATTGGTTCATGGTTCTGAAGGCTGTATAGGAAGCAGAAGGCTGGCATCTGCTTTTGGGGAGGCCTCAGGAAGCTTACAATCATGGCAGAAGGTGAAGAGGGAGCAGGTGTCTCACATGCTGGGAGAAGGAGCAAGAGAGAGAAAATTGGGACTGGAGGATGTGCCACACTTTGCAATAGTCACATGTTGTGAGAATTCACTCACTATTGTGAGGACAGCACCAAGCAATTGAGGGATCCACCCCCATGATTCAAATACCTCCCACCAGGCCCCATCTCCAACAGTGGGGGGTCATAATCCAATATGGGGTTTGGCGGGCATGTATATTCAAACTATCACATGGCATGCACATACCTAACACACTGAGTTTAAATCAAAGTCAAAACAAGGCTTATTAAGTAGGGAATACTTTCCCCATTGCTTGTTTTTGTCAGGTTTGTCAAAGATCAGATGGTTGTAAATGTGTGGTCTTACTTCTGAGATTTCTATTCTGTTCCATTGGTCTATGTGTCTGTTTTGTAGCAGTACCATTCTGTTTTGGTTACTGTCACCTCGGAGTATAGTTTGAAGTCTGGCAGCCTGATGCTTCCAGCTTTGTTCTTTTTGCTTAGGATTGTCTTGGCTATATGGGTCCTTTTTTGGTTCCATATGAATTTTAAAGTAGTTTTTTTTCTAATTCTATGAAGAATGTCAATCATAGTTCAATGGGACTAACGATTAATCTATAAATTACTTTGGGCAGTATGGCCATTTTCACAATATTGATTCTTCCTATCCATGAAGTGGAATGTTTTTCCATTTGTTTGTATCCTCTCTGATTTCCTTGAAGATGTCCTCCGTTTCACTTATTAGATGTATTCCTAGGTATTTTATTCTTTTTGTAGCAATTGTGAATGGGAGTTCCTTCATGATTTGGCTCTCTGCTTGTCTATTGTTAGCGTATAGAAATGCTTGTGGGCCAGGTGCGGTTGCTCGCGCCTATGATCCCAGCACTTTGGGAAGCTGAGGCGGGTCAAGAGATTGAGACCATCCTGGTCAACATGGTGAAACCCCGTCTCTACTAAAAATACAAAAAATTAGCTGGGCATGGTGGTGCGTGCCTGTAATCACAGCTACTTGGGAGGCTGAGGCAGGAGAATTGCCTGAACCCAGGAGGTGGAGGTTGCAGTGAGCCGAGATCGCGCCATTGCACTCCAGCCTGGGTAACAAGCGCGAAACTCCGTCTCAAAAAAAAAAAAAAAAGAAATGCTTGTGATTTTTGCACATTGATTTTGTGTCCTGAGACTTTGCTGAAGTTGCTTATCAGCTTAAGATGCTTTTGGGCTGAGATGATGGGGTTTTCTAGATATAGGATCAGTTCATCTGCACACAAAGATAGTTTGATTTCCTCTCTTCCTGTTTGAATACGCTTTCTTTCTTTCTGTTGCTTTCTTACCCTGGTCAGAACTTCCAATACTATGTTGAATAGGAGTGGGGAGAGAGGGCATCCTTGTATTGTACTGGTTTTCCTGGGAAATGCTTCCAGCTTTGCCCATTCAGTATGAAATTGGCTGTGGGTTAATTAATGGTGCTGGGAGAACTGTCTAGTCATATGCAGAAAATTAAAACCGGACCCTTTCCTTATACAAAAATTAACTCAAGATGGAATAAAGACTCAAATGTAAAACCCAAAACTATAAAAACCCTAGAAGAAAATCTAGGTAATACTATTCAGGACATAGGCCTGGGCAAAGAGCTCACGACAAAAATGTCAAAAGCAGTTGCAACAGAAGCAAAAATTGGCAAATTGGACGTAACTACACTAACGAGCTTCTGCACAGTGAAAGAAACTATCATCAGAGTGAACAGACAACCTACAGCATGGGAGAAAGTTTCTGCAATCTATCCATCTGACAAAGGTCTAATATCAGAATCTACAAGGAGCTTAAACAAATTTACAAGAAAAAACCATTAAAAAGTGGGCGAAGGACATGAACAATCACTTCTCAAAAGAAGGTGCCTATGTAGCCAATAAACATATGAGAGGAAGCTCAACATCACCAATCACTAGAGAAACGCAAATCAAAACACACTGAGACGCCGTCTCACACCAGTCAGAACGCGGATTATTAAAAAGTCGAGAAACAACAGGTGCTGGCGAGGCTGAGGAGAAACAGGAATGCTTTCACGCTGTTGTTGGGAGTGTAAATTACTTCAATCATTGTAGAAGACCGTGTGGCCATTCCTCAAAGAACCAGAATTTTTTTTTTTCCGAATTCCTTGTGAATACAAGAATTTTTTTTTTTTTTTAAGACAGAGTCTTATTCTGTCACCCAGGCTGGAGTGCAGTGGCTTGATCTTGGCTCACTACAGCCTTTGCCTCCCAGGCTCAAGCGATTCTCCTGCCTCAGCCTCCTGAATATCCAGGACTACAGGCACACACCATAACACCTGGGCTAATTTTTTTTTTTGAGATGGAGTTTCACTTTTGTTACCCAGGCTGGAGTGCAACGGCACAATCTCGGCTCACCGCAACCTCTGCCTCCTGAGTTCAGGCAATTCTCCTGCCTCAGCCTCCTGAGTAGCTGGGATTACAGGCACGCACCACCATGCCTAGCTAATTTTTGTATTTTTAATAGAGATGGGGTTTTACCTGCCTGGTCTTGAACTCCTGACCTCAGGTGATCTGCCCATCTTGGCCTCCCAAAGTGCTATGATTACAGGTGTGAGCCACTGCGCCCAGCCAGAAATACCATTTGACCCAGCAATCCTATTACTCATTATATACCGGAAGGACTATAAATCATTGTATTATAAAGATACATGCATGCATATGTTCACTGCAGCACTATTCACAAAAGCAAAGACAGGGACTCAACCCAAATGCCCATCAACAACAGACTCGATGAAAAAAAAGTGCTACATATGCACCATGGAATACTGTGTAGCCATAAAAAGGAATGAAATCATGTCCTTTGCAGGAACATGGATGGAGCTGGAAGCCAAAACAAGGCTTATTAATGCATCTCACAGGAAGAGAAGGAACAAAGACCAAATAATACCCACACTATCATTATGCCAGACAGCTGAGCATAAATTAGGTTTTGCTGAGCTGGTTCCACCATAAAAAGACTCCCAAAATGGTACCCACTGCAACAAGGGCTTAATATGTATGAAGCTACAGAAGCTCCCTGGTTAAGGAAATGGTCTGGCCAGGCGCGGTGGCTCAAGCCTGTAAACCCAGCACTTTGGGAGGCCGAGGCGGGTGGATCACGAGGTCAACAGATCCAGACCATCCTGGTCAACATGGTGAAACCCCGTCTCTACTAAAAATACAAAAAATTAGCTGGGCATGGTGGTGCACGCCTGTAATCCCAGCTACTCAGGAGGCTGAGGCAGGAGAATTGCCTGAACCCAGAAGGCAGAGGTTGCAGTGAGCCGAGATTGTGCCATTACACTCCAGCCTGGGCAACAAGAGCGAAACTCCATCTCAAAAAAAAAAAAAAATGGTCTTAGTAGGAAGGTAGATATCCTGTGTTCAGAGGCTAATATGAGCTCATTTTTCCTCTGAGCTCATGAAAATGCTGGCCCACGTCGTCTTCTTCAAATTCAGTTGTAACTCACATACCATAAAATTTACCATGCCGAGGGGGGACTTCCGCCAAGATGGCCCAATAGGAACAGCTCCAGTCCGCAGTACCCAGCGAGAGCAACGCAGAAGGGGAGTGATCTCCATATTTCCAACTGAGGTACCAGGTTCATCTCACTAGAACTGGCTGGACAGTGGGTGTAGCCCAGGAGGGTTAACCGAAGCAAGGTGGGGTGTCACCTCACTCAGGAAGCCCAAGGGGCCAGCGAACCCCCTCTTCTAGCCAAGGGAAGAAGAGGGGCCAGCGAACCCTCTCTCTTAGCCAAGGGAAGCCATTACACTCTGGCACTCTGGCTCCGATACTGTGCTTTTCCCATGGTCTTCACAACCCACAGACCAGGAGACTCCCTCTGTTGCCTACAACACCAGCGCCCCAGGTTTCCAGCACAAAAGTGGGCAGCCGCTTTAGTTGTGGCAGATGCCAGTGGTGCCTGGAACCAGTGAGAGCTGCTCATTCCCCTGAAAAATGGGGCTGAAGCCAGGGAGCCAAGCGATCTTCCTGGTCCCACCCCCAGGAAGACCAGCAAGCTAACATCCGCAGGCTTGAGATTCTCACAGCCAGCACAGCAGTCTGAGATCGACCACGGATGTTCGAGCTTGGAGGGGTGAGGGGTGTCT